CTCCTCCTCCTCCTCCTCCTCCTCCTCCTCTTCCTTCCCCTCCTCCTCCTTGCATTTGCACAAAGGTGAGGCATGGGTTGCCACAGGCCCTGGCTTCCACATGGCTGAGTGGTTTCAGATGGGCCACAGGTCTAGGCTTCCGTTCAGGCTGCAGGCTCTGAGCAGACCCCCAGCTCCCTTGCAGGGGCCTTGGGGCACAGGCTGCAGGAACCTGAGCCTTGCTGTCCAAGGACGAGAGGCCAGGGCTGAGGGGGAGGGACCCTGCTAAGCTGCGGACTATCGCTGCTCCTGAGGAGTGGGTAGGGGCTGGGCTCCTTGCACAGTTCTTCTGGGCAGTGCTCAGGAATACAGAGTGAGTCTGACAAAGGTCAGGAACCTTTTGCACAGTTTTCTATTGGAGTGACAAGCTCTAGGTCGGGTGAGTCCTCGATGCTGGCGTCTGGGTCTCTTTTTCTTTTTTAAGCTGCATTATTGAGCAAATAAAGACATTGACCTGCACAGAGCGTGAGCCGAGTTATTCTGAAAAATAGCAGGGTCTGGGTTGGTATCAGACGACCCAGGTGGCCCAGGTTTGGGGCCAGCTGCTTATGGGGTGGTGATGTTGGGGACAAGATGCTTGTCCTTCCAAACTGACATTCGACAGCTCCGTGACACTCAGGTGACAAAGGATCGATGTTTGGTCAAGAAAATACAGTCTCAGGGGGCCGGGGAGTTGGCTCAGTGGAATAAGCGCTTCCCTGGCAAGTGCAAGGGCCTGAGTTCAATCCCTGGTTCCGCCAAAAAAAGAAAATACAGTCTCCGTGGAAAGGGGTCGAAGAAAGCCTGTCTCTCCTCGCCCATGTCCATGTCTTCACAGCTCAAAGCCACACCCAGGACATCAGGGACAGCATCCTAATTCTTGTCTTACAGGGAGATGGAGGAGCTTGCTGCACTTACCCCGCAGGAGCTTTGTGGGAACATGCAGTGTGGGGGATCCCGGGGCTTTGAAAGTCTTGAAAAGTGGGCGCACGACACCATGACACAACCTCATTTTGTGCCTAAGAAGTCAGAGATGATCGGACCAGCTGAGTGGGAGTCGTGGGCGCCACTGAGATGCACTTGGAGGGACAGGACGGCACCTGGCCTCACCGTGGCGCTAGCAGAATTTCTCAGCGCCTAAGCCATGGAGTCGCATAAACCCTGATCCGTGCCTGTTGCTTACAAAAGGAGAGGAAAGGCAGGTCGTGGCGAGCCCCACTGCCATGCAGCATGCGGGGAGGCTAAGGCAGGAGGGCTGTGTGTGGAACCCAGCCCAAGCAAGGTAGCACGACTCTTCAAAAAGGGGTAGGAACACAGCTCAGTGCAAAGGCTCCGAGTTCCATCCCAAGTACTGCAAGGGTGGGAGCGAGGGAGGGGGAAAGAGAGACAGAGACAGAATTAGAGACAGAGAAAGACAGAGAGACAGAGAGAGATACTCACTGGAGTTGACAGATCTAGCAGATAAAAATATGCAAAGCCCAGCTAACTCTGAATTTCATGTAAACAAATAATTACAATACAAAGGACATGCTTCTACAAAAGCAATTATTCAGTGTTTATCTAAAATTCCAGTTGAATAGAACAGCCTGTGTTTTATCTGGAACAAATGCAAAAATAATCTTAAATACCTCAAAATATGGGAAATTAATCAAAGTGGAGAGACATGTGAGGGGATTTATTGACCCTTGTAACAGAGCTGACAGTCACAGCATGTGGGTTCTACACAAAGGCGACAATTAGTGAGCTCGATTCCGCTGTGCACCTGGGAATAAGACAGAATCCCTCTTGCTCGGGTGAGTTCCAGGCCACAAGAAGAAAAGGCCTGCACCTGGGGGCCACCCCCGGGTCCTCCCACTCTGTCCCCAGCACGCAGACCTCCAGGTGCTGCCCTTCTCTGCTCCAGCCCCACCTCAGTCGGAGCAGGCAGGGAACCCCAGGCACCTGGGACACGCCACTCCATGTCCATCTTGTCCCCTGAGGTGGCCCTGTCAAACGCGGGCTCCCCCAGCTGGGCTTCAAGCTGCCCCTGCCCCTCTGGGGCTCGAGTCCCCTCTGCGTGTGTTCCTCCACCTGTGCCCCAGGTTTCGCATCCCAGGATGTGTTAAGCAGATGCGGCTGGGGGCAGGGGGCCAGCGCTCCTCTGCCTCTCCCTGCGGAGCTGGGGGGTCGCTTTTCCTGGAAAGCTGGAGAAACTGCGGCTGAAGGTGTCTTTCTCCTGGACCATTTCCTCTGAGGCATGGACAGCAGCCTGCTGTCAACGCTGCCTGGAGGGGACACCCGGGTCCTGCCGCTCTGACATTCTCCACAAGTGCAGCAAGACCCCGGAAGTCGAGTGAGGGACCTCAAGTGTGCAGAACCCCGGGGCCTTTGGAAGATCCGGAGGCCAGGCTACACGCCAGGCTGACTCTGGAGGCTTCAGGCAGGCCCTTGGGCACCCGGGAGAATGAGAAGCAAAATACAAGAGGAATTTGGTCTCTGGACACCACAGGGAGCAGCAAAGGGTGTCTGGCTCAGTCCTGCAGGACCCCTGAGGTTTGCCTCCTGGGCTGCTCCTGTGGGGAAAAATCCCAGCCAAGTGGGGTGCGGCATCAGACCCTAGCAGGCGCAGGGACCTTAGAAACCGAAGCAGCATGGGGGTGGCCTTGGAGGGTTACTGAGCTGCAGGGTGACGCCTGGCCTCTGGTCCTCAGGTCCCCAGGCCCTCAGGGCCACCCCTATTCTCTCCCAGGCCAGCTCGGGTTTTCTCTCGGCTCACAGCTTCCTAGGCAGAAGATTGAGTGAGGACTTCCGAGTCCTCGTCCCTAGCCTTAGGCCCCACGATAGGGCCCAGCTCTAATCACCAAGCACGGCCCACAATAGCCAAGCGGATGCGCTGAAACAGGGAATGTGGGTTACACCAAAAGCTACTCAGGGGGTTCACTTCCTTCCCAAGGGACCCTTCGCTGCTCTGCAAATGGAGTCTTCCCCGGAAGTTGACAAAGGTGTTTGGGACTTCAATCAGTTTATCAAAGTCAGTTGGCGCTGAGTTATTCAGGAAGCGTGTGGGGGTGGAGGGATCCGTAGCTGTCCCTGGGTACAGTGGTGCGAACTGCGCCCTGGACAGATACGGGGCCGAACGAAGGGAACAGTCAGCACACAAAGTCTTTGCAGTTGTTTGTAGCTCGCTCAACTGCCTGGCTCCAGCGAGACCCGCGCAGCAATTTTAAGGCACTGTTTCCTCAGTGCTGTGTGGCTCGCGTTGACCCCGACTGTACCAGAACAGGGAGGGGGCAGCACTGGCAGGGTCTGCCCGGGGGGACTCCCCAGTTGCACACCTGAGGGCCACCGTTCTCCTGGCTCCGGCTGGGGTGAGGCCTGTAGGTGATCCACATGGCCTCACGGGTGGACAGCAGAGGGCAGTCGGGCGTGCAGGGCACAGACCTGGATGCAAAGAACAGAGGAGGTGAGGTGAGGAGATGCCAAGGAGGGTCATCGAAGGCCAGGTTCTGAGCCCCGCCTTCCAGGTCACCTGCCCTCTCTGGGGTCTGGGGCAACCCCTGGATGGCTGTTAGCCCTGTGACACTGCTGTGCTGGCAAGTGATGACACCCAGCACCACTTGGGGGTGCAGAGTCCAGAGCAGGCTCGACCCTGTCCCCACCTGTCCCCAGCCCAGGTCCAGGCCTCCCGCTGCCCTTCCCTTCCCTGCTGCAGCCTGGACCGATGGTTCCTGCACCCTGGTCTGGCCCACAGCTGCTCCTCTCCCTCCAGGAAGCCACAGGGAGGGCCTCTGTGCTCTGGCCTAGCCCACCAGGGAGGTCCCAGGAGGGGTGGGACGGGGGGCTTCTCACTCAGCAGGCCTCAGCTGGACCCAGGAATTTGTGGATTCTCACGTTTTTGGTACTAGGATTGAACCCAGAGCTTTCGCTTGGAACTACCCCCAGCCCTTTGTATTTTATTTGGAGTCGAGGTATTGCCAAATTCCCCAGGCCTGCAATCTCCCTGCCCCGGGACCTCCTCCCAGAGTACAAGGATCACAGGTGTCCACCCCACCCTGCTAGGATTTGGTCCTTTTTGTTTTGTTTTGTTTTGTCTTTTTGAGACAGGATTCTGATGTGTACTTCAGGCTGGCCTGGAGCTCACTTTGTAGCCCAGGCTGGTCTTGCACTTGCAAGACCACCTCGAACTGATCCTCCTGCCTTAGCCACCCGAGTGCTGGGATTACAGGCGTGTGCCACCATGCCGGGTTTAGGATTTGGTTTTAGCTGAGCTCCTCAGGGACACTGCGGCTGCCCCTGGGGTCGGGTCCACAGAGCTTCTGGCCTCTCTCTTGAGCCAGATCTCCTAAGGGATCTGTCCCACGTCCCTCTCCCTCCAGGCAGCTGGGGGCGCTGTAAAGGCTGCGACACTCTCGGCACCCGCCAAGAATAAAGTCTCTGGAATGCTGGTTGAAAACGTACAAGTTAATGAATCTGGGTGTGATTCAGGAATGATAGAAAGGGAAAGCACATGTCACACACAGGCTACAGGTGGCCTTCAGCCTGGACTAAGGTGCGGTGGACGCGGGTCGGGTGTCAAGTTCATCGGTAGTGGGCACTACATGCTGTTGGACCCAGGCCAGGCCACAACAGCACCAGGAATCCCTCACTGCCCGGAGCCTGCTATGTGTGACTTCTCTTCTGAGCCTGACCTACAAGGAGCCCTGGGACAGACACTTGTTCTGTGAGTTTTTAAAATTCCCAGTCGTATCACAAAGGCCCTGCCTGGCTGAGCCGCTGTTAAAGAAAGCAGCGCAGCCAAAGCACGGGGTTCTGTTGCTAACGCCAGTGGTCAGGCCCAGGGACAGGCCGGGCACCCAAGAGAAGCGTGGGCGCCATCCAGGTGCCACTCCCGTCAGCAGAGAAGGCCAGGTCACCTCCTTCAGGACGCCCCCACGGTGCAGGGACAGGGGGCATGTGAGTGCTCATCAGTTTTGGAATAATACGAAAGGATGAGGCCTCTCCGCAGTACCCTTATCTGGGGCCCCTGGCAGTGGGTGCATTCGGAATTCAGAATGGTTTACATTTTACAATGCCTTGTTCCCTGGGTGTCACAGCCCCTGGAGTGGGGCCTGGGGGTAGAGAAGGAACCGTGGTGCAGTTTCTGCAGGCAAGGACTTGCAAATTCATATTAAAATAATGGGATAAAGAAAAGTCATAAGAAACCGCCCATCTGGGATTTCTGCCTTGATCCTGGCACTCTGGGAGGCTGAGGCAGGAGGGTTGAAAGTTCGAGTCCAGCCGGCCCAACTCAGTGACTTAGTGAGACCCTGTCTCAAAATTTTCAAAAGAGGCGTAGACTAGGATGTAGTTCAGTTGGAAAGCCCTGGCTTCAATCCTCGGTACCGCAAACAAACAAACAGAATTCCCATCTGCATAGGTGATGTTTTTGCTGTCGAAGAGCAACCATAGATTTTCAGGGTTTTTTTTAGAGTATCTTCTGTTTCAGAATTGCATGTAAGAGATGGTGAGCCTGTGTGATTTCTGTGTGTGTGTGTGCGCGCACAGGAAAATCCACTCTCTAGTGCATTTGTTGGTGGGAGTATAAAACCTTATACCCGTCTCCAGGACAATTCAGCTATACATAAAAACTTCCTGCATCTTCTCACCTGGCAATTCCAGTTGTAGAAATACACACGCCCGGGACAAGTGGGCTGCGGGCAAGGGTGTGCCCTCGGGGAGATCTATCCCAGCAATGGTGACAATGGCAAAAAGCTAGAGACCATGTAAACGTCTGTCTACAGGGGATGCTCATTTGGGCCGGGGAGACAGCTCAGGAGAATAAGCACTTGCCTGGTAAGCACAAGGTCCTGAGTTCAATCCCCAGTACTGCAAAATTCATTCATTAATTATCTTTTTAAAAGGGAGATGCTTATGGGTGAAGCACTCATCCGCAGACCTCGACGGCTCTGATACCAACTCTGTAAACCACTATTTGCTGGAGGAAGAAGTAGCGATACATGGTTTGGTTCAAAAGCAGGCAAGAAAACAGCACACAGCCTATAGGGTCATGTTCATAAAAATAAAAATATATGTCTGCATATGCTTAGGCAATGTGGAAAGATATGTACCTAAATATTACCACCTGGGGGTACGGGGAGGCGCCCTAGAAGTTCTACTTTCCATTTATGCTTCTCTATATGTGAAGCTTTTCTAGGTAACGAGCACACGTGGGGCTTTAGAACCAGGGAAAGCCGTGAGGCTGACCAGCCGATGGAAAGGCGGGTGTAAATCCAAACGTGTACATGCACGATGTCTCTTTCAGGTGGGCTACAGTGTTGGGGCACAGTGGACCGTCCCGTCCAGAGTCACGAGGCGCCTTGTCTCCTTGTGTGGGCTCTGTCACGGGGCCTGACCTGTCGGTGGCACCCAGAATCCCACGGGATGCTTCACATCCAGCCTCTCCTGTGAGTCCCAAATGACACGGGGTGACAGGAAGGCAGACGGCATAGGGGAAATCTGCATGCTGGTTAAGTAATGTGACCCCCCAGCTTGAGACACGGCGCCCAGACTCTGCAACTTCTGCCTCCCGCCCCTGCTCCTGGCGCCGTGGCGGTCATGTTGCTTAGCGTAACACCAAGACGGCCAGGGCGGCCACTCTGGATGGAACCCTGGTTCCACCACCTCGCTCCTGTGTGACGAGGGCCACATGACTTAACCTCTTCGCCACAGCCCCTGGGACATACGCACTATATATGTCCTATCTGCTACTATTATTATATGTACATTTGCATAGAAGGGAACTCAGTGGGAACTCAAGGAAGAGGCCCTCCAATGATGAAAATTAGGTTGAGCTGACAGACTTGGTAGCAACAGGGGGATTCGGGCAGCAGAATGAATCTTCTCCTTTTCCACTTGTAACCCATTTGGGGCCAGTACACAATCTGGAGTTAGATGACCACTCAACTTTGACTGGAGGGGAAAGTCCATACCAGCAGAGAAAGCCAACCGATCCCCACACCCAGCCCTTCTCCAAAGAAAAGCATGTCTCCTGTCACCACTGGTCCTCAATGAAAGGGACACAGAAGCAGTCAACCCTGATATGTGCCCAGGCAGAGCTATGCCAGCCAGCTCATGGAAGACAAATAAATGGATGTTGTTTTAATTCACTGGCATTTGAGGGTTGTTTGTTACACAGTATTATCCTCACAGACTAATACAACCTGCATCAGAATATGACTGTGAACCTATGGTTAAATAAACAACACTGACTAATGTACAGGACATCTGTTCTTTAGCTTTTGTTGCAGCCTCTCTTCTCTTGTTGAAGGGATGTCAGAGGGGACTAGGAGGTCACTGAGGCCTAGCACATGCATATGACAGCATCTCTCATAACTGTAATTTGAGAGGAAATGACCAGATCCCTCTTCCTCCATGAAGCCTCCTTCTTCTCTTTCCCTATACTTTTTTTTAAATGGTAGTAGAGATTGAGCCCAAGGCCTCTGCACTGACCTGCACAACACCAGCCCTTCATTATTTTTCACAATTCAAGGTCTCACTAGGTCACTAAGTTGCCCAGGTTGAGCTTAAACTCAGTGTCGTCTTCCTGACTCACAGAAGACGTCTCCCAGAGTGCTAGAGCTTTGGGCTTCCCTTTCTATCCCTTACCCAGACCTTTGCAGCTTGAAGCAGCGAGGGTGCCCTCATTGCCCAAGGTCACCCCTCCAGGCAGCCTTGGAGCCAAAGACTTGCTTGTTGGGCCCAGGCCCTGTGACCCCAGCGAATTCTAGGCCCTGCCTCCTCCCTGTCCCCCTTTTATATTTTATATTTTATTTCAATTTGCAGGATGGAACTCAAGGCCTTTACACTGAACTTTATCTCCAACCCCTTTTATATTTTCAGTTAGGATATAAACCCTAAGTTTTTCAGCCTAGGCTCAAATTTGCAATCCTCCTGCCTCAGCCTCCCAGAGTGCTAGAATTATAGCATTGCTCCTCATCTTCCTTTAAACCTCAAAAGGCACAGAGGGGTTTGGCCACTTCATGAGGGGATCCGGGAGTCTCCTTCCACCATGACATCTCCCTACCAAGGAGGCACCTGTCCCGGCTCTGGAGGACATGGCGTCTCCCTCTGATAAGCCCTAAGTCTTCTTGGGAAGCACACCTGGGCTGGGGCAGCCAGGAAGGGCGTTGCTCTGGGTGATGGGATTTTCTGACCCGTGAAGGGTGGAAGCACACAGAACAGCAGTGTGGACCTGTTCCATTCAGAAAATCCGTCAGTAATCCAGGGGAGTGACATATTCATACTCAGCCTGGCTTAGGCCTGAGGCTGGCCTTTGAAATCCACGAGTGCGTATGTCTATGTGCATGTGCCGCTCAGGAAAACATGGTGATTCAGTAAACAATTAAGATTTGATTAGAGGAGGCTCAGAGTTGAGCAAATTAGTCCTTTCTGCTCTTCTGGTCTCTGGCCGTACATTCAGTCTGGAGCAAACTATTGAAAGTCAGAGACTAAGTTTATCTGGGATATTTTCAGAGCTCAGAACAGTGTGCTGGCCCCCTCAGCGCCTAGTAGGCGCTCAATAAACCACTGAGTCAATGACAGTAGGATACAGTGACAAAGCCTGCGCTGATCAGGCTCTTCGCTGCACACTGATAAGCGGTTGGAGTGGTACGTGCTGAGGGTCAAGCTAATCCCCACAAGTGCATCTGGTTTTGGGAGAGTCACTGTAGCACCTATCCAGTCTTCAGGTCTGCCTCCCCTCCCAACTCTGTGAAGTAACTGACATAGTCAATTGCCCAAAAGTCATATAATCACCTGGTCTGATATTGCACCCATTTTGCAGGTCAAGAAACTGAAGCCTGGGTCAGGCATGGTGGTGCATACCTCTCATCCCAGCACTTGGGAAGCTGAGGCAGGAGGATCTCCACAAGTTCAAGGCTAACCTGGGTTACATAATGAATTCCAGGCCAGCTTGGACTACATAGCGAAACCCTGTCTTGAAAGAAAGAAAGAAAGAAAGAAAGAAAGAAAGAAAGAAAGAAAGAAAGAAAGAAAGAAAGAAAGAAAGAAAGAAAGAGGAAAAAGAAACCAAGCCTCAGAGAGACCAACTGTCCTAACCACAATCACCAAGCAAGACTGGCAGAGAGGGATTATATGCTGGGTACCTGACTCTGAAGCCCAGGCTCACCGCCCCCTTTCCTCCTGGGCCCCCCTGCCAGTGCAGTGTCCCTGCGGACAGCACCTGCACGGGCACCCTGCTCTGGGGGCTTAGGAAGCACCCATCAGCTCACTGTGCTTTGCCGCTGAGCCTTCGGGATCGAGGGTGCTGGGGGAAGCCTCTCCAGGCGCTGCCCGTCTTCTGCTTGCTCCTTTTGAACACCTTCTTGACCCAGTTGGAGTCTGCAGCAGGGCTCTCCCTGGGCAAAGAAATGACGCAGGGGCTTGGTCAGTGGCTGCCACCGGCAGGCTCCCAGGGTCACCGGGACACCTGAGTCTGTGTTGTCCGGCCATTGGGGAGCACTGGACTCAGAGACACCAGGCCAACTTCTCCACTGAAACCCAAACTTTCACTCACTTCTTCATAGATGCAAAAAAGTTGAAACTGTGTGACAGTTTATGCTCAAGCCTGAAATGATTGTGTTTATACAAACTGTCCAGAAATTTTATACACAAATTAGAATGTAATGTGGGAGACGGGTAGGCACAGACATTTAGAGATGTCTGCTATGGCACGGGGTATAAACCTCAAAAGTAAGGATGGCTCAGGCCCCGCTGCCCCAGTCCTGCGGCTGTGACCAGGACACCGCTGTCAGACCCTCCTGGAGAGGGGTGCAGCTACATCCAGGGGCAGAGGCAGAAACAGTTTTGAGCGACCCTTTGAGCTTCCACTGGCCCATCAAACGGGAGCCCCGCCAGCAAGGAAGCCTAGTGAGTGATGAGCTCCCCAAGGAATGGTTTGGGGAGATAGCTCAGGGGAATAAGTGCTTGCCCTGCAAAGCACAAGGTTCTGAGTTCAATCCCTAGTCCACCAAAAAAAAAAAAAAAAAAAAAGGAATGGTTTGATTAAAATAAAAAGATTCCCAAGGCCCGTCCTAGCCGCTGCAAAGATACCAGTGGGGCACAGGGCCGCCTTGGTTCACGAATGTTTCTGCTCACAAATAATATGGTTCTCAAACAATAGAGTTAGACAGAATTTTGCTTCTCTTCCTAAACTCCACATTGGAGGAAAAAGACCTCCTGGGTCACCCCTTCCCCAAATCGTGAAACCAATTAAGTTTGCACGCCCTGAAGTACCAGTGCGTATGTTACACAGCCTGGACAGTTGATGCACATCATGAAAAAGATCTTCTGGGGTGCCTGCTAGGAATAGCGGGGCCTTAGCACGCAAACAGGAGACTACTTGGACTTGGGAGCCCTGGGAGAGAGGCCAGTGCAGAGAAGTGAGCTCCCTTGCGCCGGGGCTGGGCATGGCTGCCTGCAGGCCCTCCTCAGGCTGCGCATCACCAGAGAACATACGGGTGGAGCTATGCGAATTTTCTATTTTCTCGCCCAGGAGATGCATTTTGGGGGGTGGGGGAGGGCAGTGAAGAGCAGGGGCCTCATCCCCGAGAGCAGGCTCATTCCCACGAATGGCCTCATTTGGGAAAAAGAAAAGGGCTGGCCCACAGGCCCTGCAGGGGGCGGGCTGTCGGCACACAAGCTGCAGCCAAAGGGGCAGAAAATGTCTCCTAGCAGGTCCCCCAGTCCTGACTCAGGCTGAGGGCGTAACTCATGGCAGGCCTCGGTTCAGGCCCCAGGCAGGGACGAAGCTTTACGTCCCGACAAAGGAGACACTTACTTCGCACTGGACTCGCTGGCCATTTCTTTCACCTGAGTCAGAGCCGCGGTGCTCCTGGGATGTGGAGAAGCGAGGAAGGCTACAGCAAAGCAAGAAGAGAGGAGATGTGAGCGAGATGGGGTGGGAGCGCGGGCGTTCGCGGGGTCACAAGAGCGAGCGGGCAAGAGGCTGCTGGGGGCTGCGAGGGCTTCTCCAGCTTGGTACTGTTCAACTGAGGGTCGGAGAAGTTACTCTCTGCTGGGGGAGCCCTGGGGCACTGCGGGCCAGGCAGCTTCCCTGGCCTCCGCCCACTAAAGGACAATGCAGAAATCTTCAAATGTTGCCCAATGTCTCTCCCAGCCAGGAGCTCCACCCAGGACAAGCAAGGACCCAATGCACGGCCAGGTGACACAGGCTCCTGGAGATGGCCACGTGCTCAGGCAGGAGGGGACAAAGAAACGCCTTCCACCGAGCTGCATCGCCGGGCCTTCTCCTCTACAGATAGGGTCTAAGTTGCCCAGGCTGGGCTGGAGCTTGCAATCCTCCTGCCTCGGCTTCCAAGTGAGTTTGGATGACAGGCGTGTTCCACACTGCCCACCTCTGACTTATTTACTGGCTCTTCATGTCCTTGTGTTTTGTCTTAGTATGTGGAAAAGAATCTCAGTAAACCTATTGCAGAGACAGGCTTAGATTTGAATCCCAGCCCCAAAGACAACCCCCTGCTGGGCGGTGTCCGTGGTGCTTGGCCGATGGGCCGCGAGAGTCTGGCTCCAGTCCTTCTCCCGGAACCCCGTCCCCCGGGCCTGCACAGTCAGTCCTAGCCATCACACATGTCTCCTCTTCTTCCCAAATGCCCTTGCACGTTCCTACTCTGCACCTGAAAATCTAGACAAAATCTGAAACGTCTGTTCTTCTCCATGTCATCAAAACCCACAGGCCACAATCTCAACATCCTGTTGACGATTTAAATTCACCTGTTGGTGAAATAGCTCAGAGGTCTAAAGCGCCTACTTAGGCAAGCTTAGGCAAGCGTGCAAGGACCATGTTTCGATCTCGGGCACCGCATGCCATGCCAGCCACGCCCCCAGGGTGGGCTGAGCCTGCCAAAAAAAGAACAACAACAACAAAAAACCCCTTACCTGTCACCCCCCCCCCCTTCCTGGCCCCCGAGAGATTTCCTGGGAGCAAGGAATAAGAACCGCTCGTCTCGGTAGACCCTATAGTGGTGCGTCCCAAACTATCTGCAGTGGAGAACAATTTTTAAAAAAAGTATAGAGAACACCAAGTGTGGTGACACACACCTGTAATCCCAGCTCCTGGGAAGCTGAGGCAGGAGGATCTACAGCAAGCTCCAGGCCAGTCTGGGCTCCTTAGTGACTTCAAGGCCGGACCTGGCTCCATGGCAATCTTATTGCTACTTTGCATTTGAGTGCTTATTCTCAGTCTCCCCATTCATTCGTGTGGACTAGAAACAAAACAGTGGCCCTGACCGAGGACCACTCTTTGAGAATCACTGCGGGTGGGGCAACCGTGGGTGGGCAAAAGCATCACGTAAAGCCCTTGTGAAAAGCCCAGACAACGGAGCCCCGCCCCAGAACCTGAGACTTAGTAGATCTACGTTAGGCCTCGAGAACTGTCACAGCTAATAACTCCCCCACAGATACTTTTGCCGCTCTTGGGGGACCGCGTGTTCCAAATGGCAGCTGTACCGCCCCCTTATGGTAACCCAAGGTTATAACACACAGAGCAGCTAAGGTCACTGTGGTTGGCCACGCTGCTGTTAAGAGGTCTACAGGGGGCTCTGGACACCAGGAAGCCAGCAGAAGACCGGTGGGTCCCTACCTTCGGGATGGTCTGAGCCTAGCACCTCCACTGGCAGCTGAGCATGCGAGGCTGAAGGACAGCCGTGGGGTGATGTTGGAGGTACAGGGACGGCTGAAGACCTTGACAATGTGGATGTGTTGAGTGGGATGCCCTGCTGCCGAGTTGACACAGGTGGCTGCCCCAGGGGTGCAGCTGGCAGCGAGGAACCAGGTGTTGAGCCGCAGGTGAAGTGCCCAGGTGCCCAGTCATCTGGAGAAGGCGGCAGTGATGAGGCAGGTGGTGGCCCAGGTGTTGGCTTGAGTGAAGCGACGGGCGGGGGAACAAGCGACTCCACGGGCACAGGTGGGGACGCAGGGGGGTGGCTGACTCTCCCAGGCCCCTGGATGTGGACTGGCGTGGGCGCCTCTGGCCGGGCCCAGGACCTCCGAGGACACAGCTGGCTGTACTCCGGGCAGTTAGGGCCCAGGGCTAGCTCGATCTGGGAGTACACCTCCACCCGCGGGAAGAGCACCCGCCTGGAGGGAGAATCGAGGTATGCAGCGTCTGCGGAAGACAGCAGCGCGGTCACAGGTGGCCCTGCACCCCGCGCCTCCCTGAGACAGCCTGGCGTCATCAGAAACTCAGTCTCCCAAGTTGTGCTCACGTGCATAACTCCTGCCTTCCAGTACCCTCGCTTCATTCACTTGAGGCTATGGTGACAAATGTGAGGGCTCCAGGGCCTTTTTGTTTTTCTTCTTTTAGATTTTTTTGATTGGTACACACATTAATATACCCAAATAATGAGATCTGTGACGGCACACTGGCTGAGGTGTGTGACAACTTTAATTCTTTTCTTTTTTTTTATGTATTTATTCCAGGGTCTACAGGGTCTCACTACGCAGCTTGGACTTGTAGTGATCCTTCCTGTTTTTCAGCCTCCCAAGTGCTGGGATTACAGGCGCCACCATGCCCAGTCTCAATCCGCATCTCAGCCCTCCCCAGGGGCGGGCCAGCACCGCAGGCCCGGGAATGAACACCCAGCCCCTGCGTCTGCCTAAGCAGGCGCTTCCATCCGCTGAGCTATCTGGCCAGCCCCAACTTTAATTACTTTCATCCCTGTTACCCCTGCTTCCCCATCACTAAACAATCACCTTCTAACTTCCTGTGCTCTCCTCTGCCTTCATACATTCCTGGGTGCTTAGTGCTTAGAAGGCACAAATTGCCTCTCAAGATAACTTAGAGAGGGGCTTGCGGGTTAGCTCAGTTGTTTAATCCCCTGCTGGGGCAAATCCAGTCAGGCGCAGGGGACCGCGTTTAGATCCCCAGCTCCCTGTGCCATACAAGACCCGCCCTTAAGGCAGCCTGAGCCAGCAAAAAAAAAAAGATAACTTAGAGAACACTAAGAAATCAACTGTGACTTTCCAGACTTTCTGCTAATAACACTGCAGATACCTAGTCACTCAGCGTGTCCAGCCATGTACTATATTATATACATACTGCATAATAGCACCCAATGAAGTGCAGCATTAATAACAGGGTGGGGAACGCCTGGTCCTATTTCACAATTTTTCTATAAATCTAAAACTAGGGGGGAGGGCAGGGAGATAGGTCGGTAGAATAAGCGCTTGCCTGGCAAGCGCAGGGTCCTGAGTTCAATCCCTGGTTTTGTACCACAAACAAACAAACTTGGGGCCAGCAAGATAGCTCAGTGGTCTAAAGCGCCTGCTTAACCAAGATCTCAGGGAGGGCTGAGCTGGCAAAAATAAATAAATAAATAAATAAATAAAATATTACTAAAAGCAAAGCTTATTAAAGATCTGGCAGGGAAAATGAAAAAAGGATTAAATAGATACTTCTCCCAAGAAGATATAGGTAGAAGACAGGAAAATGAAATGATGCTCAAAGTTAGTAGGCATTATGGAAACGCAAATCAAAACCATGATAAGATACTACTGCACACTGTTAGAAGGACTAGCACTAAAAGATTCACCATACTAAGTGTTGGTGAGAATTTAGGGAAATGGAACAGCTCTCCTGCTACTGGGGGGAATGTAAAAAATCACATCCTTTGAGAAGCAATTTGGCAGTTTCTTAAAAAGTCACACACATGTTCTGGTTATGTACCCAAAAGAATTGAAAAGAGAATCATGAGGAGCAATGTACACACCCATGTTCACTGTAGCATTATTTACAATAGCCCAAAGGTGGAAGCAACCTATGTGTCCATAGATGGATGAATAAAGAGAATACAGCACATACGTACACCCTTAAATAGAAAGAGAAATCCTGTCACATTCTACAATGAGGATGAGCCTGAGGGCATCTTGAGCTGCAAAACATCCAACACTGTCTGGCTCTGCCTCTCTGTGACACCTAAGCCAGCCGACCCCATAGGAACCATGTTCCCTTCCACAGCTGAATGGAACACACAGAAGTTAGTGTGGGCCTGTGCAAATTTATGAAGCTGCCCTATCTTATCAACCAGAGAGAAGGCTGGACACAAGACTGTAGGAAAAAGGACACAGCTACAAGCCATCATGCTAAGCGAAATCAGCCTTCCATGTCTGGTTTCTCTTCTATTAGAAACCCAATTATGAAAAATTTAACAAGCAAAATAAATGACAGATGCCAAGAAATGAGGGAAGAGACTTTTGTGGAGATAGACAGAGATCTGGGAGTGGGCAGACAGCAGGGAGCAGGAGGACAGGGAGGTAAGAGGGTCGACCTGGGGTGTGTAACTGTGCCCATTCCCTGCAATGCATGTATTTGTTATGGAAAATAAGCATACACAAAACTAATTTTAAAAAATAAACCTGCTGGAAACAAAAGAGAAGGCTGGTTACCAGCAGGAGGAGGAGGAAGCAGAATTGGGGATCACTGGGAACAGAGTTCCAGGTTTGCAGGGTGAAGAAGCTCCAGAGTTGTTTCACAACTACATGAACACAATCAACGCTACTGAACTGCACACTTATAAGTGGTTAAGACAGTTGTGTGTTGTCATTTTACCACAATTAAAATATGTGTGTATACAAGTAAAATACCCACACACCATACAGTTATTCTGCCGCTAGGTATTCAGCCAAGAGAGAGGAAACCAAGGGTCCAGAGAAAGCCTGGCTCCTCAGAGCCCACAGCCTGCACGACCTAGGACTCCGAGAGGGTCCACTGCCTAAAGCAGCTGTGGTGCTGTACAACCAGATGGAACGCGGGAGAGAGAGGAAAGGGGCGAACCACTTACATGGTCCCCAGAAGAGATGAATCTCGGGAAATTTATGCAGAGCCAAGGAGAGTTCCCTCTGCAAAACTGGATTTACCAAGAGCCCTAGAAAATGCAAATTAACCTAGGATGACAGGAAGCAGATGGGAGCTTGCTGGGGAAAAGAGGGTGACGGAAGGAAGCTGCGGATGATGGATTGCCCCGTCTTGATGGTGGCGGTGGCTTCACTGGTGTGATGTGTGGGGTGTGTGTGTGTGTGTGTGTGCGTGTGTGAGTGTGTGTAAACACATCCGCACCACACACCAGCATGGATTTCACGAGTGTCAGCCAGCAGTGCCTTTCTTCTCTCAGGGAGCTGCCTGGCAGCAGGAATAATTAGAGTGACATCTTTCGGGGTGCATCTTCCTGTTGGAGGTGACCCCGTGCAAAAAAACCGGCAGGTGGCAAGCGGGGATTAAGGGTGGGGCTCTGGGCACCAACCTTAGGTTCTCAGGACATGTCTGGGGCTGCCGTCCCCACACAGGCTGCAGGGAGATCCACTCTCAGCGCCTGGGGAGGACTAGGGCGGGGACTCCCTGCATGGAGGACACGTGAGCTTGCAGCCCGGGCTTGGAAACCCCGAGGGTTTCCATGGAGGCGAAGGGTGGGGGACACAGAGGCTGAGGCCCACTTCGCACCCCTCCCCAGGGCTTGAGAGGACTAGAAAGAAAAACTGTTCTAGGGCGAGAGACCAGTGGGAACGGTGTGGGGGTCTCCTGGGCAGGGGAGGGAGTCTTCTCCAAAAGCCACCTCTGAATCTGTCCCTCTTTTTTTTTTTTTTTTTTTTTTGCGGTTCTGGTATTAGACCCCAGGGCTTTGTGCAAGCTTGGGCAAGGGTTCTGTCCCTGAGCGACATCGCCAGCCCCTCGAATCCAAGCCTCAGATCGGGGAATCAGCCGCAGCCCCCAGCACCCAGCGTGCTTGGCTCCCCTCTGGGCTGGGCCCCCATCCACAACTGCCCACACGGCTCAGAGCACCCCTGTTTTGGACACCTGAGGCTCAGTCTTCAGAGCTGCCACCTGCTTGGATGGGCCAAGGTGGGGTGGGGCTGTCCCCAGGCAGATTGGGGCCGACTGGCCCAGCTTAGATGCTCTCAGGAGCTGCCACCGGCCCGTGTGGGAACTCCAGCAGGCTTTGGGGTCTTTGTGCTAATCCTCCCAGTAAGACCCAGGTGGATCCCGTTATGAGGCCACCTTTACAGATGAGGAAACCGGGGCCCCTGGAGACTGATGCAGACCCCGTAGCAAGACTCAAACTTTTCCTGAAAGGGAAAGTAGGTCTGTGAGGGGAAGTGATTTTTCCAGAGCACACAGCTTGGGATGGGGGCAAGCCCAGGGCTCCCCAACCTACTGTCTTGTCCCCTCAAGATCCCAGCCCTGCCCTTGGGAGAGAAGACCGGGAAGAAAGAAGAAAGACAGAATGAAGGAGCTGGAGAAATCTGTAAGCAGGTTGTTGGTGTTGTTTGTTTGTTTGTCTGTTTGTTTTTGGAACTGGGGCTTGAACTTAGACCCTTGCGCTTGCTAGGCAAGCACTTATTCTACTGCGTTCTCTCCCCACCCCATGGAAGCAGGTTTGAAGAAGAAAAACCAAAAGTGGATATATCCCAGGAGGAAACTGCACCCCCAAGTATTTATAAAGGTACACAGAGTGTTCCCCAGAGCATTCCTTATAATAGGGAATAGTCAGGAATTCAAAGGCACTGTGGGGCTAGGTCTCCATGCAACTGTGCTGGGATATCGTACAACTGTGGAAAGCCATATGGCAAAGCTGAGACAGCACTGGGAAGTGCCTTTGATGTAGGAATCCCTTTGTCTGAAGCCACGTTCTGCCTAAGGAGCTAATTCTAAGGATGGAAAAGGCTAGGCGTGGTGGTGCATGTCTGCAAACTCAGCACTTGGGAGGCTGAGGCAGAAGGATCGCCATGAGTTCAGCCTGGATTACACAGCAAGAACCTGCCTCAAAAAACCTAAGTAAATTAATTAAAGAGACTGGGCGTGGTGGCGCATGTCTGTAATCCCAACTCTTGGGAGGCTGTAAACAGACGGATCATTAAGTCCAATCTAGTAGTGAGACCCCGAACACCCTGTAGACCCTTTCCTAAAAATACAAATAAATAAATATAATTAATTAATTAAAAAGGTGAAAAACCCAGGGAGATAGCTCAGAGGAATAAGCGCTTCCCTGGCAAGCTTAAGGAACTGAGTTCAATCCCCGGTTCCGCCAAAAAATAAAAAATATAAAATAAAAGGTGAAAAAACTCTTTTCACTTCTTTTAACAAAGATATTTGCCATGGTTCTCACGGAGCCCAAGTGCTCATTTGTACCTTGGCGTCATTCTGCCCCAGTAAAGGCTGCAGCGGACAGACACAGGGATCCTCCTTCCAAACCAGCACAGGCCAAGAGCTTTTCTCCCTGATTGGCTGATTAACACATCATTCAAGATCTTACACAAACACAAACTACATGGATGAACCACATGGCTTTATGGGAAAGATGATAAAATGGGAGTGAGAGAAATGAGACAAAAAGGAAGTTCTTAGCAGGTTTGAATTGTAGATTTCCCAAGTTTAGGTTAAAAATCCACAAAGATGGCCACCGTTGGGCGCTGTCTCCTGTTCAGCTGTCTGGCCCCAGACGTGGGATGGTCTGCTCTGATCTCAGCCTTCTGCCTCCTGTCCTGGTTCTGCTGTCCCACGCTCCTCCCCCGCAGCCCTGAGTACTTACTCAGCCGCCTCAGGTAGGCCACCGTGTCCTCATAGCCTTGGTAATAGTAGTTTTGCAGGACCTGGGGGTACAGGCGACAAAAAAACCAAGCTGGGTGACATGGAGTGACTGCCCCCTCCTCCCCAGAGCTGGTTGGACTTTACTGGATGGACTTTTAAAAATGACCCATGCAGGGTCCCCTACTTGCTCTCTGCTGAGACTGTGGAGCAATTCCCACGGGAGGCCCCAGAGACACGGTGTCAGTGTCTGACACCAATCTTAGCACATCCCATGGCCAGCCCTGTCTGGATGCTCATGGGAGAACCAGCCAAGATGCATGGCCATGGGAAGGGAAGGGTTTGGGGACCAGGTTCTACTCCCAGGACTACAGCTTATGGGCTATGGGGCTGTCACTGCTCACAACCTCAATTTCCTCATCTGTAAAATGGGGGCAGTCGTAGCATCTCCTCAAGGATGCCAGAGGATCATGAGAGACACTGCCCACAAAGCCTTTCCAGAGGCTGGATTTGGCCAGTCCACGGGCCGTGTGTTGCTGCCCTGTGTTTGTTCCCTGCCTGTCAGAGCAAAAGCAGTCCAGTAACATTCCCGCTTGTGGTTCTGGTCTTGACCAGTTTTATAAGTGGGAAACTGAGGCTGGGAGACCTCGGGGGATTTGTTCAAGGTCTTAGCAGCAAGGCGAGGTCAAGGGTCTAAGAGCAAGTATTGAGGTCACCCAAGGTGAGAAGAACTCGATTCCCGCCCCCCACCCCACCCCGCCTCTCACCACCAGGTCCGGGGGGAACAGGGCATGGGTCATGCGGGTGATGTTCTCCAGGGAAAACTGGAAAGAGTAGTTGAACATGCGGAAGTCATTGAAGATGGCGGGGCAGTCCCGGGGACAGATGTCCTGCTGCCCGCTGAAGGTGGAGATGGTGATGGAGTCAGTCCAGAAGGAGCAGGGCTGCATGCTGGTGAAGCCACCGTCAATGTACCTCTGGGGGTGCAGAGCAAGGATCCTGGGGGCCTCACTCTACTTGGAGGGCCGAGGCAGGTTGGAGGGCCAGAACCTCTGTCCATCCCAGACTTACTAGGCCAGAGCCTGCATTATTTCTTGAGACCCCCGAATGATTCATGGACACATGAAAGATGGTCTCGAAATTCCCCATTGGTGGTTCCAGGACCCCACTTTCCAGAGTCATATTTCATACTCTGTCAAGCTTGAGGAAATCTGAGAAGCTGTGTACTGGGTTGGGGCAGCTGCCCAAGCAGGGAGGCTCATGGGAAAGCCCCAGATGCCCCTGCATCCAGAATTCTGAGCAGAAAAACACAAGAACTGTCCAGCTCTGGGTCCTCACTGCACTGAGACTGTCCCTCCGCTCTCCCGGACGTGGCTCCCAGGCCCCCCAGGGAACCCCAGCTCCCAGCCCACTCCCCCAATGCCAGGATCACTCACCACGCCACGGTACGTCGGGGGGATGAAACCGCAGTACACGGGGACAAAGCAGCTGCAGTACAGGGCCTGGGGACAACAGGATTCAGGGGTGGCCACGGGTCCTGGGAGTGGGTAGGGGGGTCCCTCAGCACTGGTGTCCCCACCCCACCAATCCTAACATCCCTCCCCCAATGTGAAGGCACCAGACTGGTGAGTGGAGCCCTCAGTTCCATCTCTGACCTAGTCCTAAGGAGTCTGGGCGCTTGGTGAGCTACGTGGTCAGTAGGCACCTGATGTCCCAGCTTTAAAAGGAAACGTGGCCTGCGTATCTTTAGGGTTCTCTGCACCAGGGGGATTCGGTAGTCGTCAATCTGTGTCTGGCCTGGCCAGAGCCTGTACCCAAAGAAGGGTGAGATGGCCCCATTTGAGAATACTCAGAAATGGCGACAGGATAGTGAGGTGACCAGGGCTTTGATGGAGATAAGCACAGGCATTGCGGCCCAAAGGCCAGGGGAGGGAACAATGGGGGGGTGATGACGGAGAGCGCCCTGGCTGGAGGGACGGGGCTGTTTCCACCATGTAGGGTGGAGTGGGCAGGCAGGCAGGAACCCCCCGGGGGGGGGGGCGCTTTGGGCGTGTCCTGGGCGTGTCCTACCCGGACACGCCCCTCCCACCTCTGCCTCCAGTGTACCACACCTCAAGCAGCGGCCTTCTACCACGTGCCACTGCCCTGTGGTCCTGCCTTGGAGCCCGCTCACCACAGGCGGAAATACACTTCTCTTCCTCTACATGTGACTTAAGACAAAAAGTTTGGACCCAGGGGATGAATGGGGTGAGTTGCTGCACCCGCGGGAGAGGGCGATGAGATGGGAAGGGGAGGTGGGACTGCAGGCCTGGAAAGGCGCTGGCTGCGGGGGAGAAGGTGCGAATAGGAGACCTAAGGACCTGGGGGTCGTGAGGGGCACCCCCACTCCCAGGACCAGGGCAGCGCAGGCTGTGAAGACAGAGGAGCCAAGACCCACAGCTGGAGGAGGAGAAGAGTGGGCTGGATGGAAAGCGAAGCAGCTTAACCAGCGTTCTCGTGAAAAAAAAAAAAAAAACCATCTCAGGCTCCATCCAGCAACAGATTCGTGACTGAAATTTCTATGATGAGCTTCGCAGGCACAGGGCTGGCTGGGTGCGGATGTCTCAGAGTGATAACCAGCTCTGATTACTTGATTATTCAGAGGGAGACCCTGGCGCAAACTGAGCCGCGCAGGAGGGGCCCACACTGCAGCCTGGGCTGGGGGGTCCTTAAAGGTGCCTTGGGACCCTGCAGCCACGCCCAGGCCTCTGAGGAGCTCAGGAGGGCTGTGGTGAGAGGGGGTGTCCTCTCAACGCCCCGGACCCTTGCCTCAATGAGCTCCTCCTTGGACGTGAACTCGGACACCACCACGCTCTCGCCGTCCTCGAAGCGGGTGAGGCCCACGTGCAGCTTCCCCGTGGTGACCTTGTAGGCGTCCTCGGGCAGCGCGCTGTACAGGAACTGCCGCATCATGGGCACCATCCTGCAGGACGGTGAGAAGGGGCCCAGGAAGTGCTTCTTCACCTCGGCCAGGCCCACATTCAGCACGCGGAGGTACTCTTCTGCAGGGGGAGCAGAACGAGGCGGTGTCACCCCGACGCCAGGGGCCAGGAGAGGTCTAGGGTAACTTTGCCGTGCCACTGTGCACACAGCGGGGCTCGGGGAGGGACCTGCCGTCACGCACCTGAACAAAGCCAGCCCGGAAGGAGGAAATCGTGGGCTCCTAGGGTGGTCACAGCTAGACAATGGCAGAGTTGGACCCAGCGTCCTACACCCTGACCAGCAGTTGCTACATAACGGGAACGGTCCTACTGACAGCCAAAGGAACCATCGCTCACCCCAAAATAGCTTTCTCCAGCCTCCTGCCCCACTTGGGTGTCTGCTTCAAACTGTACATTCTTTGGGGGTCTTGCGTGAGATTTCTGTGAAAACATCGCTGGTGAATGCCTGTAATCCTAGCCCTAGGGGAGGCTGAGGCAGGGGGATGGCAAGCGCAAGACCAGACTGGGCGAGTCTCTCAAAATAAAAAATAAAAAATTAAGAAGGGCAAAAACCCTGGGTTCTGTCTCCAGTACTGAAACATACTGTTGAAAGACATTATCAAGGGACAACCCGGGAAACTTGTTCAGCGGCTAGGCGGCAGGGGAACTGCAGGAGGTGAACTATGCCCTGCTTTCACTGCGAGGACTGTCCTTCCGGCGTGGCGCAAGGTACAGGCTGCGGGGGAGGGGCCTGGTGCGCTGCGGCGAGATGCCCGCCCCTCCCCCACCCGCGTCCCCAGTCCTGCAGTGGGAGATGTGTGGGCTGTAAGCTCAACAAGAGGAGCGCTGTGCTACATTCTGAGGACCGTGCTGCAGGGAGCATTCGGTCACCATGCTGTCCCCTAAAGGTGTGCGAGCCCGGAACCCACATTACTCCTACAACACCTAAAGGGCCTCCTGCTGGTCGCTACTCTTTCCGGCCTTACGCAAACCTCCCAGGGGGAAAACACACAATGACTGCAGTTTAAAAGCAAATATATTTCTTGGTGCTGGGAATTACACTGTCAGCTTCATGCATGCTAACCAGGGCTCTAGGACTGAGTTCAGCCCCAGCCCTTAAGCAAATATTTGGTTGTAAAGCATCCTGTGTGGGCGAACTTTCTTAAGAAAGCTTGGGGTCTTGCAGTAGTAATAGCTACTTGGGAGGTGGTGCAGTTGTGAATTTTCTATTTCTGGAAGTAACCAAGCAGAGATTGGACAAGTTCCTTTGTTAGGAAGCTTATCAAAGGGATCCCTAGAGGGCCGGTGAGATAGCTCAGTGGATTATGTGCCTGCTTTGGCAAGCGCAGATACCAGGGCTCGATCTCCAGTTCCACAAACTTTGCAGGCAACTGAGTCCTGGCGTGGTGGCGCACGCCTGTAATCCCAGAGCTGGGGAGGGTGGGGGGCCTGGAAACGGGAGGATCACTATGAGTCCAAGCTGCATAGTGAGACCCTGTACCAAATATATAAATGATGGCGGGGGTGGGGGGAGGCTTGTGGATTAGCTCAATTTGTTTAAGTGCCTGCTTGGGCAAACCCGGTCAGCGCAGGGGACCGCAGTTCAATCCCCAGCTCCACAGACCCCACCAGACCCGCCCTTAAGGTAGCCTGAAGGAGCCCCCCACACACACAAAAAAAAATCTCCAAATGTATAAATGATTAAAAAGGGGGGCATTCTTATCAGGGAAGCAAGCACACAGTCTTCCCAATATGTCTTTTGATATTTATGTCTTTTGGTATATAAAAAGACATATAAAATATGCAGTGAATGTTTAATTTTTTTAAAAAAGCTATTATAGTGAATTACATTCTCCCCTCAAAAGACTCCTCGCGGTGAGCACACTTACCCCTTCCTTCTTGCCATTTGCGGAAGCAGTTCTGGAAGTCCGCTTTCGTGAGTGTCGTTAGGAGGTCTGATCAAAAATATTTTGCGGCTGACAAGTGCCATCTAATGGAAAGGCACGATGCCGTGTCCCCGGCCACTTTGTTCACCGGATCTGGCACCCGCGTGACTCTGGCTCCTCCCCAAGGTCAAAATGATGGTGAAAGAGACATGATTTGAATCGGTTTCAGGGCGCTGAGGCAGTCAGGACAGTCCAGCAGAAGACACAACGGAGGACTTTCAGAACTGCTTCAGGAAGTGGCAAGAACAGTGGGAGAAGGGACTGGGAGGATTTGGAGGAGATTAACAGTAACATGGCTTTACTGCAATACATTTTTAGAAAGTTAAATGTTCCTCATATGTTTCCGTCAGGCTCATATCGAAGACGCCTCCGTGTCGCCCCCTCTCTCCTATTCATAGAGTGGCCAAGGCACAGACAGGTTAAGCAAGTCATCCCAAAGCACACCCAGCCGTAAAGACAAACCAAACTGAGGAATGCTTTCGTCCTTTTGTTATGTGGTTCGTACGCAGACTATAACTCCCTGGCAATGGGCAAAATAAAATAACGGGGCGGAGGGGGGGGGACCGTGGTACAGAGGTGGAAACTAAGGCAGAGAAAAGCTCCCTGCCTCGCCTGAGGTCCCACAGCCGAGCAGTGGATTTTCTGACTCTAAACTCAGCCCTCGAGAAATTTCCCCAGATATCGGACCGAGCTGAGCCGAGGGATAAAGAGGCTGAGTGAGCCCGGTTGCCATGGTGACAGCCGCCTCCGCCCCCAGGCTGCGTTCAGGATCAGACCTGCATCCGGGTGGCAGGTACCCACCTGCGCAACAGCTCAGCTGCCACCCTCTTCAGGAGAGGGGCCCGGAGTAGGGGGGACCCTGTGGTTTAGGGAAGTCAGCTGTTCCCTGCGTGGGCCGTGCAGGCAGCCTCAGGTTATGAAACACTTGGGTCCTTGCATGCCGCGGTGCTGGGTCACTGAGATCTGACTCGTAAGACCAGTTGGGACAGAGAGAGGAACCTGAATGGGGACTCGATCTCTTTGGGGTTCCTAATGGGCGGGCAGCCTAAAGCCTCGCCAAGGTCAGTGACCTTTCTGGTGAGCGCGACTGAGTTTTGTGGGCACTGGACTATGGAAGGAAATTTGTCCTTGTCACACGAAGCACATATGCTCTTTGTAGATAAAATAGATTTTAGGCAGGCGCTTATGCCGTTGAGCTATCTCCCTGCCTATGAAATAGTTTTTAAAAGTAAAGACAAGTGAAAAGGAAAGCCGGGTCTTGGAATTCCTCCTTTCAGAGATTAACATTTGGTTTCACTTCTTAGACTACTATGTATTTTATTTTTATTCCTACAGGAACTTACATGGCACGCATTAATTGTACCTGCTTTTTGGCCTAGTTCAAGTTTTTCCTTGTCAAAAAAAATGTATATTCATAATGTAATTTTAGAAGAAGCATGAAAAGCTGTTGTGAGGTTATGTCATTAATGAGAAGATCCCCGGTAGGGTTTGTCTAAAGTAGCTTATGTCTTTTGTTTTTGCTGTTATTCGTTTGCTTGCTTGCTTTTCTCAATCTTGCCTATGATGTTCATTACTTTCTTTAGAATACTTTCCTCAGATTGCAAATGCTAGGTCAAAGATATTTAATACCGTGGGATGTCTCAGAATGTTCACTGGCATTGGCACTTTAGTCTTTTATTCATTTCCAGTCAACTCTGGGCTATCTGAGGAGGTGACGGGGGACAGGTCAGAAAAGCAGCCGAGATGATGGAAATAGTATTGAATTTCCACTGCGCTCCCACCTCAAAATGCTGCTACCTGGACATTACCAACACTCCGCGCAGGTCATGTTGCCAGCCAGGGTGGAGCAGTGGGCTGACTGGTGTCTCCTCATCTGTTCCCTAGTTTAAAATTCTTTCTTGTTGCTTACTGGAGCCATAAACCAAAGGATGCTTCTATATCTGTATCTCCTTGCCTATGTGGTGGCGGCGGCGGCAGTGGTGGCGGTGGCGGTGTGTGCGTGTCTGTTAGTCAGTCAGTCAGTCTGTCTGTCTGTCTTCAGTCTTTCTCTCCCTCCCTACTCTCTCCTTTCTGGCCCTCTTTGCCCACTTAGGGGAGAAATAAATCTCCATTCGTATAAAGGCGAGTGTTAGCATAGGGCTAACCAGGAGGAGGGACGCATTAGCCCGCTTCTTCATGTGCCTGTGTGCTTCACAGCACTGTCCGTCATTTAAAGACCTCCTGAGCTGCGGGCTGCCAGCCTCCCAGACTGAGGGTCCCACCTTGACCCCGTCTTCGGACAGGTGGCTTCTGATCAGGAAACTCAAGATTAGCTGATCTCGACCCAGCCACAGAAGAGATTCTCCGAGGCCAGGGCTTTGCCGTCCTCCTCACCTGCCCAGGACCCTGTCTCCATACCCTGGCCACACAAGTCCCTTCCCAAACCTTCCCTGTAGGCTGGGCACCCACCTAGCCACGCGCTCCCTCTGCTCACAGAGCCTCCGGGGACCTTAGTGAGGGTGCAGTGTTTGTTTGGAGTGTGAAGAAAGAAAAATAAAAGCCTAGAGGTAATGGAGACACCTGGGGCAGGGAGGGCCACTTGACTTAATTACCCAAGAGCTTGAAGGCAAGATTCCTGAGGTGGACAAAGGACCAGAGAGGAGAGAGGAGGGAGGGAGAGAGGGAGAGAGTGTGCTGGAGGATAGAGAGACACACAGACAGACACACACACACACACACACACACACACACACACACACACACACACTATTGATCTGTGGCTTCAGTGTCAGCTCCCCAGATTGTATTGTGCCAAGAACTTCAGTTGAAAAATAAGGAAATAAGATCTAGGACTAGGAGATTTGGAAAGATACCTGAGGCTGTATCCCCAAACCATTCAGGGACTTCCTTTCCTTTCCATTGCTTGGGAAGACATTGCCACATATTACGGGTCATGTTGTCACTGGTCAGTTAAGCAATTCTTTTACCTCCGTTTTGCCACCCGTGAAAATGGGAAGCCACATTGGCCAGGTTTCTAAAGAAGTCAAGCCATGGTGTTATGTTGAGCTGTAGGGGACTCAGGCCAACAATTTCTGACACTGCCAGTCAAGAGGAAGACCCAATACTATTATGGGCTACTGGCCTCTTTTAGAATAT